CAGATGCTGCTGGCGACGGTGGTCGGGAAGCAGCCGCTGCTGCTCGGGCAGCAGCAGCGGCTCGTGCAGCAGCAGCAGCAGCAACAGCAAGAGCTATGTCCCCATATACAGAAGCGGCAAAGAGACGCACAGCTATTGCTGCAGCAGCAGCAGCAGCAGCAGCAGGCACTTCACTTTCTAGACCCCCTTCCTCTTTGAGGGGCCCCCAGCTGCAGTGCGCTGGGGGGCTCCCTGGGGGCCCCTGGGGGCCCCTGGGGCCCCCAAAGGTGGTGATTGGGGGGCCCCCAGGGGCCCCCTAGTTGGTGATCTTATTTTAAGCCTTTCCGGGGGCCCCCCAGTTGGTGCCCTTATTTTAGGGGCCCCTGGAGGGGCCCCTGAAGGGGCCTCCTGTCTCCCTAGGGTTTGGGAGCCCCCAGGGGCCCCCTTGAAGGGTTTGGGGGCCCCTAGGGGCCCCCCTAAGAGGTTTGGGGGCCCCTGGGGCCCCCCGTGTACCCTTTTGGTTGGGGGCCCTTTGAATCTACATCTATGAAGATGCCTATTGACGCAAACCACCAGCCAATAGCTCCATTTGAAGGGTTTAGGGTTTAGGGTTTAGGGTTTGGGGCCTAGGGTTTAGGGCTTGGGGCCTAGGGTTTAGAGTTTAGGGTTTGGAAATTACCCGCAGGGGTTGTGGCCGCGAATACGGTGAGGCCCCGGGGCTGCAAACGGCAGCGCCCGCAAACCCTAAACCCTAAACCCTAAACCCTAATTACTTGCATCGGATCTAAACCCGTCTGCAGACACAAAAGCTTCCATTTGGTGTTCCGCGCGCTCTTAGGGTTTAGCTAGGGTTTAGGGTTTAGCTAGGAATTGGGGTTCAGCTAGGGTTTAGCTAGGGTTTAGGTAGGGTTTAGGGCCTAGCTAAGGTTTAGGGTTTAGCTAGGGTTTAGGGTTTAGCGAGGCCCTCACCTGTCTGGGGCTCTTCAGCAGCGTAAGCTTCGTGAGAATAGGCCTAGGGTTTAGGGGGTGTAGGGGGCCCCCAAACCCTAGGGGGCCCCCAAACCCTAGGGGCCTCCCAAACCCTAGGGGGACCCCAAACCCTAGGGGGCCCCCTCGTTCAATCAATACCTAGGCAAAGTAAAAGATGCAAACCCTAAACCCTAAAAGCGCCGCTGGGGGCCCCTGGTTAGGGTTTAGCGCCACAGCTGAATTCTGAGGGTTTAGGGTTTAGGGTTTAGGGTTTGGGAGTTGATCTACAGTGGGTGGCTCGGGAGGCGCCGTTAACCCGCGAAACCGTAAACCCTAAACCCTAAACCCTCGATACCTGAGTGTGGGGTGCATTGGCGCTCCAGGCCCTTCCCAGTGCCGGAAACAGCTGCTGCTGCTGTTGCTGCTGCTGCTGCTGCTGCTGCACAGAGACACAGCAGCAATTAAATTTGTTTCTTTTGATTTAACAATCAAAAGGAGACAAGAGGAGACATGGGAGACACAAAGCAAAAATCGAGAAACAAGAGACAAGCTCTAGAGGACAAATTAGGGTTTAGGGTTTAGGGTTTAGGGTTTGGGGTTTACCGTAGAAGCTGCAGCAGGACCAACCAAATGGCTGCACCACTGCCAAAAGTAAGACACACACAAAATAAAAAGGGTTTGGGGTTTAGGGTTTAGGGTTTACAACAGCAGCAGCAAGCAAACATCAAAAAGAGACAAATAAATCCAAACTAGGGGCCCCCAAGGGCCCCTAGGGGCCCCCAGGGGCCCCCAAGGGGGCCCTTTGAATGGGGGCCCCTTACGGGGGCCCCTTACGGGGGCCCCCAAAGCTTTTGTTGCCCACGGTTTTGGGGGGCCCCCAGGGTACAGTTCATTGGGGGGCCCCTGGAAAGACCCTCTTGAGGGCTTTCCCCTGGGGGCCCCTGAGGGGCCCCCAAGAAGCCCCAAGAGGCCCCTAGGGGGCCCCTGGGGACCCTCAGAAAACCCTTTAGGGGCCCCGGGGGCCCCTGAAGGGTTTCCTGAGGGTCCCTAGGGGGCCCCCCAGAAGCACCCTAGGGGCCCCTGGGGGGGCCCCTGGGGGCCCCTAGGGGCCCCTAGGGGGCCCCCTTGTGTATTTGCTGCTTCGACTTACTAGGGTAATGAGCTGGTACTTTGCTGCTGCTCGCCTGAGGGTCTTTCCAACTTTCAAAATAACTAAATGCAAAGAAAC